GTGAAGATTTATGGCATAGGGATGAAGTGTGGGGGAAAGGTCCAAAGCACACCTGCACAGGCAAAATGCAGCAGCAAGAAGTCTGAGACATGATGTTCCTCACTCTCTCTTTCATTGCCCCTGGCTCCTACACCTTGGAGGCTTAAAATGGAGTGGCAGAGAAGGGAAGGTCCCAGTACAAATCTGTGTGAACAAAAGGCAACAGGAAGAAGTCAGACATGTGGTCCTTCTGAGCTCATTCATTCTTACTATCTCTGGCTTCTGCACAGTAAGGATTTAAGGTGGAGGAGCATGGGGGAGGGGTGCAGGTCCAAAGCACACCAGTGTAACAGGCAGCAGCAAGAAGTCTGAGATGCACTGCCCTTCTGTTCTCACTCTCTCTGTCTCTTGCTGCCATTGGTTTCTGGACTATGAGAATTTAAGGCAAACAGGTTGAAGGGTCGGAAGGGTCTAAAGCACACCAGTGCAAAAGACAGCAGCTGAAAGTCTGAGAAGTGTGATCTTTCTGTTTTCTCTCTCTCTCTCTCACTCTCTCCTTCTCTCTCTGTCAGTGCCATGGGCTTCTATGAAATGAGTGGCTTATGGGGGAAGGGAACCCAAAGTACACCTGTGCAGGCAAAAAGGCAGCAGCAGAAAATCTGAGATATGTGAATTTGTGCATTCATTCTGTTTCTCTATCTCTCTTGCTGCTGACTCCTATGCTTGTGGCAGAAGGGTGCATGGGAGAGTCAAGAAAAAGGTCTGAGCAAGACATCTTAGTGGTGTGGTTGTTTTATACTCTCTCTCTGGCTGCTGAGGCACATGCACCATGGCCTATGGCTGAGTGGTTCATAGGGGAGGTTCCAATGCACACCTGGGCAGTGGGTGGGAGCTGGGGGAGGGAATGCAGCAGCAATACCTCTCAGCATTCCCTCTCTCACTGCCACCAGCTCCAGCACTGTGGGGGCTTATGGTAAAGGGAATGAGGAAAGTAAGGCAAGGGAGGTACAAAGCACACCTCAGTGGACAAAAGGCAGCAGCAAGATGTCTGAGACATGTAGTTCTTCTATGCCCACTCTTTCTCACTGCCACTGGGGTCATTTTTTTTTCTTTTTCTTTTTTTTTTTTTTTGGAGAGGTTTTTGCTATAGGGGGGGTGTGCCTGCCAGAAAGACAGAGAGACAGAAAGTGAGAAATCACTCCCCAGGGGGATGGCCACACCACAGTCCCTTCTCCTGCATTCTCCTCCCAGGATCTTGGGCATGAACGCACATGCACCCAGTGCAAATGTTAAGACACCAGGTCTGGGATGTGAACCACGGTCGACCACATGGGAGTCCAGGGACATAGCCCTTAGGCTAACTGCTGGTCCCCGCCACTGGGTTTTTCACCTTGGGGGTTTCTGGTGAGGGGTGTGGTGGGGAAAGGGTCCAAAGCACATCAGTACAGGCCAAAATCATGTTGAAATCTTGTTGTCTGTTTTTCTATTAAATTCCTACTAATACATATTATTTGACCCTAAGGCTTGATTCAAAAATAGCTGTGCAAGGCAAGCTTTGTCATTCTTCAGCCATGCAACATGCATCAGCCTTTTTCTACCTGCTACTTCTGTGCTACTTGTCTCTTTTGATATCATGAGGTCTGTTCAATATACTCTCATCAAATGCTCAGATATCCTGTAGAGATATCACATCTTGATCATTTTCTGTAAGGAGTGTTTGGAGAGAGGCCCTGAGGGTGTAGGGATGTGCTCTGAGCAAACACCACCTGTCCCTTTTGGCTATGGCAGAACCTCGCAGCTTGTCCTTTTCTTGACTGCTGCTACAGGCAGAGCAAAGGGTGAAATTTGCTAGGAGCTTTCCAATAGACACATCTGATGGAATTTAGGAAACATCTTGACCCCAATTAGTAAAGTCAAATCCCTGCTTTGCCACTGTAAGATTCTCTAGCCTTCTCTGATCCTGGGGGCACCTGCCCTATGGTAAGATTCTTTAGCCTTAGCAACATCTCTTTTATGTTTTAAAGATGTATCTTCCCCACACCTGCAGCTAGGCTTCTCTCCACTAGATAAGAAGTTTAAGGGACCAGCAGTTAGCATAATGGCTATGTCACTGAACTCTCGTGGTCAACTGCAGTTCAAGTCCTGGACCTGGTGGCTTAAACTCACACTGGGCATGTGTGTGTGTGCCCAAGATCCCAAGGAAGAGAAGGGATTTCAGTGTGGTCATACCCTCTGGGTGGTGATTTCTCGCTTTCTCTCTATCTCTATGGGGAGCACATGGGCCCTGTAATAAAAACCCTCCCCCTCAAAAAAAAGAACTTTAATGGGATTTCTCTTTGATATGATTATCACCAAGGGATACACCCAGCCCAGTGTATCTAAGCCCTTATAGATTTGTTACCTGCTTCTTATTGTCTGTAACATAACAATTTATCTATGGAATGTCATGAAATACATGTATGTAGTGTTGCTTTGCCCTATAAATAAAGTTGCCCAGTGTGTCTGGGCAGCTTTGCTTGAGCTGCCTAGGCTCAGGCCACCTGTGTCCCCTGATACTCTTTGTCTCTTTGATCTCTTTGATCTCTTTGTCTTTTTCTGTTTCCTCTTAGACTGAGCCAAGCCCAGGGCATATGCCAACAGTTTTCTTTCCTTCTCTCTCTCTCTCTCTCTCTCTCTCTCCTGTAAAGAGTCCTCTTCTCTTCTCTCTCTCCCTCTCTCTCTCTCCTCTCTCTGTCTTTGGTTATATGACATGTATGTTGTCAAGACAACATACAGGCTTAACCACCATGCCCTCTGCTAGCCCCAGTCTAACATGATTTTTAGCCCACCAGGTCTGGGACTTGAACCATGGTTGGCCATGTGGGTGTCTAGCATCTTATACACCACAATATCTGCTTGAGTCTCAGTCCTAGAGCCTTGCAAATTAAACCAGTTGCATGTGTGTGTGCCCAAAATCCAAAGAGGAGAATAGAAGAGAAGGGACTGTGGCATTGTTGACTCCTCTGGGAGTGATTTCTCAGTTTTCTTCTCACTGTCTCTCTTTCGTCAAGCACATGCACCCTATGTCAAAAACCAAAAAAAAAAAAAAAAAAAGGAAGAAAAATAAAAATAAAAACATGTACCTGTATCCAGCTTGGATACAGAGAGATTTGTTACTGAAAAACATTACTGGAAAATTGTACTGCCATCAATATTCATGATGTACATGTTTTCCTTTATGGTCATCCAAAAATACTAGGTTGCAGGATGCATACTTACTCTGGGGCTTAGTCATATAGATGCAAAAGCTGTTCTAGAGAAAACACTAATATAGAATGTCTGTATTAATAAGAATATACTTAATACTGACCAAGAGTTTTTCTATAATGTACATTTTAGTGAAAGAAAGTTTCTTTCTTTAGGATATAGTAATTTATTTAAACAGCCATTCTTAAACTCTTACATTATTTTTCACAGTAACTTTTTTTTTAAACTTTATTTTAAAATTTTGGTTACAGTTTCATTCTTTTTTTCTTAACAAGTCTACTGTTTAATCTCTCAGGATTTAAAAAAAAAACAGATTCTAAAGAATTAAACAACAAAGGAATATCAAGGGAAGGGCACAACTGCCCCATTCTCAGGGGTGTAATAGCTATTCCAGTTTAATACCTAGCTTCAAAACAAAATGAATTTTTATATATTCTAATGAAATAATGTACAACCACCATCTTCATCTGAGCTTCTTATAATTTTCAAACACAAAGCTTCATCTTAAGCTTGGTAAAAAACTTAACAGGAATGATGGCCGACCTTAGTGTGGAGTGTGTACCTTACATGAAATTTGTTAACAAACATAACACAGTAATAATGCCATTAATAATGAAGTCCTCAATTTTGAATCTGGAACATTCTTCCATCAAGGGGGGAAGGGGGAAATTCAGTCCAATGAGTCTGTCTCAAGATCTTCATCTCTTGTTTGCTCCACTTGTATTCTCTTTTCAGTAACTGGATTAATGCTTTGAGCCCAAAATGAGATATATTTTTTATTACTGTAGATTACATGTTGTTTGGTGCTCAGTTTCCATTTGTTCCTCTTGCTTGCGTTGTCGATCTGCTGCTTCTTTCTCATGTTGGCCTTTCAGCATATTCCTTCTGTGAGCAGTCTGAAAGTTTCTTCCACCTTTTCTCTTCTTTTCACCCTCTTGATCATCTTCTTCTTCAGAATCAGAGGATGATGTAACCCCCGTTTTAGCTAAATTTTTCCTTTTAGATTCAACTTCTTTCTTCCCTTCTTTTTTGTCCGGCTCTTTTCTTGGTTTATCTTCTTCCTTCTGGCCCTCTTCATCCTTTTTAAGCTGCTTTTTAGGTTGTTTTTCCTCTTGCCCCTTTTTCTTAATTTTGTCTTCTTCAGTAACCATGTCAGTCTCTGAAGGACAGGGCTGCTTTACCATTTTGGGTCTGCCTCTTGGCTTTGGAATCTTGACTTCTGTAGCTGCAGGTCGTCCTCTTTTAGGACTCACTTTTAGATTAACAGATGCTGTTGCTGTTGTCACTACTCCTGCCTCCTCGATTTCTACTTGTTTTTCTGCCTTTCTCTTCCTCCCTCTTCTGGCAGCTTTGGGAATGGTTATGTCAATTGCCTTAGTCACATCTTCATTGCTTGTTTTTTCTTCATGATCAGTATCTTCCTTTGAAGCACTAGTTTCTTTTTCTTCCATTTCAACATCAGATGAAGTGTTTGACTGTTTAGTTGATGCCTGTTGACTTGAAAATTCACTTTTGGATTGTTATCTATCTCCCATAAACCTTCATTAAAACCCTTTTGTTTATTTGGTTTGCCATATTTTTCCTTATTTTCTGAGTGAGGAAATATATCCTTTGGTCCTTAAAAAACAGTCTCATGAGTTCCAAAGAAGAAAATGGGTAGTTTGTTTGTGGGTGGCTTTATAGCTCCATCAGGAACTTCATCCACTCGAGCTGGCCAATGAGGATAACCTTTCATCTTGGCGAAGATGAGGTCTCCAGGTTTGAAATCGCGAGTCATGTTTAAAGGGCAACGCTGGGGGTCCAAAGCCCAGGAGGGGAGGCGGTGTGGGAGGCAAAGGGATGCCAAGCACGACCACGTGCCGAGCTCTTGGCCAGAGGCGAGGGAGGATGCCTCGGGGTGTCCCGATGTGCCTGCGAGGGAGTGCAAGGAGGGCGGTTAAAACCCGCAGTAACTTTTTTTGAAAAAGAAATGTTTGCAATAGGGCATGTGCACTTGATGGAGAGTCAGAGAGAAACAAAAAGACAGAAAGTGAAAAATAGCACCCAGTGGGGATGGCCATGTGCAATTCCATCTTCTTCATTCTTCTCTTGTAGTTTTGGTCATGTGCACACATGCTCTGAGTGTGTTTGTTTGTTTTTGAGAGATTTTTGCTATAGGGCATGCGTGTACACCAGAGAAATAGAAAGACAGAGGGAAATGGCCACACTGCAATCCCTTCTCCAGTTTCCTTTCGGGATTTTGGACACATACACATATGTGCTTGGCATAAGTTTTAAGTCATTGAATCTAGAACTTGAACTGTGATTGACTACATGGGAGTCCGGTAATGTAACCATTATGTATGTCATCTGCTGATCCCCAGTGTGAGTTGTTTTTTATTTTTTTTTAGAAATTTTTGCTGTAAAGTACGTGTGCTCACCAGAGAGACAGAGAGAGAGAAAATGTCAAGTCACCACCCTCCTGGGGATGAATTGCCATGTCGCAATTTCTTCTCCATTCTCCTCTTTAGATTTTCGATATGCATAAACAGGTTCCCAATCGTGAGTTTAAGCCACTGGGTTTGTGACTCAAACCTTGGTCGACAATGTGAGAGTTCAGCAAACTAACCATTACATCATCTGCTGGTCCCCACAGAAACATTTTTACTAAGTCAATAGGGAATGCATAATTTTATTAACCTAAGTTTAATATATGTCTTTCATTTCTATCAGTGAGTAAATTTGTGATTGCTCATTCAATAAGGTCTTTTTAGCCCATTCTCATGTGTAAGTGACTGTTCTCCCACAGGGGAATCTTGGAATAAGCAACATCATTTCTCTGACCTACTTCCTTCACCTTCTCTTCCAGCTATAATTTTAGAAACTGCTGTATTTTTCCAGACTTAAAGAAATGAATCCATTTTCGGTAAGTTGTTTACTGATCTCCCCACTTGTCTTACATTGTATTTAGGAATTTTATTAGGGTTCATAAATTAAAGTGGAAGAATAAAAATAATAAAATTCAGCATGAGAAATGCATAAAAAAGCAAGATAAAATTGACATGGTGAAATAGGCAGGTTATAAGACCTTAGAGCCCTCTGAGGTGAGTACAAATTGGTCTCAATTTTTCTGATACTATGGGAAAAACACATTTATTACATGGTTTGAATTGACTCTAAGGGGGGGAGCATGCTAAATTCTCAATGGATAGCAGGTTTCACATAGAGCATAGTGTTTCAAAACTAACCTGAAAATGAACACTCAGTGTTCTACAGTTATAACTATTACTGATTCCTAAAATACAAACCAGTCAGTAACTTTTTCTAGAGTTGCTAATATAGCATGGTCTCAGACAGCTCTTACAAGTACTCACTTGATGCCTAGTTTAAACCTGGAATGTGTGGCAGGAATCTACTACAGGTTCCTTAAGAACTCTCCATAAATTTCTCTCAGCTAGTATGTATGTACTGATTATGCCATAGACTGTTCAAAGTTATATTTCTTGACCAATATAGTAATGCACTGCATAGCAGCATTTCAGTGATGGGCTGTATGTAGTAACATGGTCCAAGAAGATTATAATGAGGCCCCAGAATTTCTGTAACCTAGCATGGTTGTAGCTGTCATAACCTTGTAGAGTAACCCATTACCCATGTGTTTGTGGTAATGCCGGTGTAAATAAACCCACTGTACTGACAGTTGCATGTAAGTACACATACAATTATGATCAGTGAATATGTATACATATAAAGATAAATATAAATAAATATAATTATACATAGTTTTTATTTTGAAATAATTCCTGGTTTACAAGTAATCATTGTACACCTTTGTGAAATGCAGTATTTGTTTTTAATAATTGTTTTTACTTATCTATTTATTTGTTGTCATTTTTGAGCCACCTGGTCCAGGACTTGAACCACAGTCAGTTATGTGGGAATCCACAACTTAGCCACCACTGCTGGATTATGATTTTTTATATTACAGTGTCATTGTGTCTCTATTCTGTTTTTTATTTTCTTTGCTGTTCAGAAATATTTTATCTTACATAATCAAGTTTCTCTATTTTTGGTGGTTTTTGTCCATGCCTCATGGGTCTTATTTAAGTAGTCTTTGCCCACTACAACATGTTGTTCTCCTACATTTTCCTTAGCAGGTTTATAAATTTGGCCATTATATTAAAGGCTTTAACCCATTTTGAGTTAAATGTAACTGGTAAGAGATGATCTGGTTCTACTTGAATGTTGGTGGATATTGAGTTCTCCCAGAAGCATTTATTGAATTTTTTTTTTCCACAGGTTTGATCTGTGCCTTTGTCAAAATCAGTTGGCTGTATGTTAAGTTTTTTTGTTTGTTTGTTTATTCTATTCATTTGGCCTGTATGTCTGTGTTTTTGCCAGTACCATGCCATTTGGGCGATTATGGATTTACAATATATTTTGAAGTCAGGACTAAGATGCTTCCAACATTATTCCTTTTGTACAATATTGGTCAGATTATATGTGTCTTTTGTGATTCTGCATAAATTTTATAATTATTTCTATGTAGAACATTGCTGGTCTTTTTGTAGAAATTTCAATGAATTTGTAGATTACTGTTGTGTAGTATTAGCACTGCACCTATATTGATTCTTCAAATTTATGAAAAGGACTGTCTTCCCTGTTTTTGCATATTTTTCAAGTAACTTGTTAAGCTTTTATAATTTTTTTCATAGAGGTCTTTGACTTTCTTGGTGAGGTTTCTTCCAAATAGTTTTTATAGTTATTGTTAATGGGGTTGCCTTCTTCATTTTTTTCTCATTTTATTCATAGTGTAGAAAAACACTACAGATATTTTTAATTACCCAAGGGCTTGTGTACTTGCTAGAGAGAGGGATAGAGAGATGGAGATTCAGGAAGGGAGAGAAAGCACCCCAAAATGAACCATAAAATGCCATTATAGGCTATAAACCTACTTGGGCAGTATACTCTGGACTAAACTGACAAAGCCAGGTTCCTCATGGATGTTACAATCCCTTTCCTCCAATTCGCCTTCCCATCAGGATTTTGGACACATGCACACATACACATACTCAACATGTTTCCCAAGCCCACAGGACCTTGAACTCAAACCACAGGTGATTATGTAGGATCTGGCTCCCTACACCTAGTATTTAAGCCCTGTGCAATGGGGAGAGCCTACTGTAGATTTTTCAATGCTGGATTTGTGGCCTGCAACTTTACTGCATTTGTTTATTTTATCTAAGAGTTATTTGGTGGATTCTTTAGGTTTTCTTATATATTGGGTTGTAAAGAAAATGTAGAAAAATGCATCATGACTTTTCTAATGAACCATTATATAATCAAGTCAGCCACAAATAGGGACAATTTAATTTTTTCTTCTCCAATTTATATGCCTTTTATTTTGTTCTTTCATCTGACTGTATTAGCTAGTACTTCCAGTATCTATGTTGAATGGGAGAGAAGAAAATGGACATCTCTGTCTTGTTCTAGTTTGAAGTTGAAAAAGTTTCCACTTTTTCTCATTCAGTATTATGTTAGCTGCAGGGATGTCAAATATGGCATTTATTTGGTTATGAAATGTACTTTTTATGCCTATTTTGTTGATTCTTAACCATAAAGGACCATTATATTTTATCAAATGCTTATTATGTGTCAATTAATGTGATCATATGGTTTTTCTCATTTCTTCTCTTAATGGAATCTATTACATTTGCTGTTTTATGCATACTGAATCATCCTTGTATTTCAGGAATAAATCCTATCTGGTGATAATGTATGATACTTTTAGAATGTTGTTGGATTGGTTTCCATCATGAGATATGGTCCTATATTTTGCTTACATAGATATGTGCTACTTTTGGAGTTCCTTAAATCTTTTTGTACATTTATATCAGTCTCCGGTTTTAGTTTCCTTAATCATGGAGAAGTTGCTTTTTTTTAAATGTAGATCTCCTGGCGATGAGTTATTTTAACTTTTTAATTCCCAAATGTCTTTGTTTTATGTAATTATTTTCTGCTTAAAAGAATGCTCACTCACTAGAGACAGAGAGGAGGAAAAGAGAGAACACTCCCATAACCAGCGTCCAATAAGTCTTTTTCTATTCTTCCTGGGTGGCATTGGGTTTGGCCCCTAATACATCATAGTAAGTGATTTCTTTGACCCCTTCCTACTGCCAGTGAGTGGGCAGAAGCTAGTGTAGGAGCACTTAGCTTTTGACAGCTCAGACAGCCATCACTCCTCTAATTCTCAACACGCATTCTGGAAAGTTTCTGAAAACCCTTTTTTAAAAATATATTTTCCTACCAACAGTCCTCATTTGTAACATTTCTATATCTCCTTTAAGTCCATAAATTTCTTTCTGCAGGGACCAGCAGTTAGCGTAATGGCTATGTCGCTGGATTCACATGTAGTCGACCGTGGTTTGCATCCTAGTCCCGGTGGCTTTAACTCATGCCGGGCACGTGTGCATGGGTGCCCAAGATCCTGAGAGGAGGATGGAGGAGAAGGGATTGCGGCATGACCATCCCCGCGGGGGGTGATTTCTCGCTTTCTGTCTCTCTGTTTCTCTCTGTCTTTCTGGTGAGCACACATGCCCTATAGCAAAAATCTCTCTCAAAAAAAATTTCTTTGTGCATAGTTTAACTTTCTTGTCTGCTACTTGAAATGTCTGTATTATTTGAGTAATTTTACTTCTGAAATATGGGTCACATTTTGCTTTTATTTTACTGAATATGAATTTTAAATTCTACCCTGGACATTGTAAATTATACATCATGAAACTTGTGTATACTGTTACATATCTCAAAAGATTAATTTTTATTCTACACGTTGATTAACTGGCTAGATTCAAGTTCTAGATTCTATATGAGGAGCTGATTCTTCTTTTCTTTCAGTTTCTAAATACCTGCTATTTTGTAGGTACCTCTGAGTTCTGTATATGTGTATTTTAGTA